TCGATATATTGATTATTGCGACAGGCCTAGCTAGTGCTACTGAGCACCTTTCCAGGCTGTTAGAATCAACCCAGTGGGAAGTGATGCCGATGAAACCTCTTCTCCTTGAACTCCAACAATCTGTTGTTGTTGCTATGAAATCTATCCCTGACATTGCTTTTTTCATCTCAAGTGCTGCCTCATCCATCTTATGTCGCAAAGTGGTACTTGACATGAGAGAGGTTTTAGGCTGAAGGTGTTAGGCTGCAAGAAAGCTAAATGATGGTTGTTCCACCACACTAAAGAATTGGAGACTCTGTGTCACAAAATTCAACACTGCATGATCAACATTCTTCTGTGTGACTAGTTTAGTTTCTCCCAACTTCAAATGTCTGGAGGTCGAAGGAGCCTCCTCGCTCGCCATTTTTCTTTTCCTTGGTGCTGTTAGTGTAGTATATATCTGCAAGTGTCTACCATGCTTTCTCTGCAAAAAGGAAACATTCAAAAAATTAATTACATGTCCAGACTCCAGAGATCAGTCTCCCTCCTTTTGACAAACAAAATAAACATTTAATGTGATTTTAGCGTGTCATAGATGTAAGCTACAGAGTATTTTCAGCACAGGCTTAGATCACAGTCTTCGAAAGCTGAACATTTGAAAAAAATAACAATCTCGGTTAATATGGAGCACTTCACTCCACCTGCCAACAGTTTTAGCAAATGCTGCATGAAAAACTAGGTCAAAATTGAATTTATATTCCAACATAAAGTGATTGACTGTCCTCATTGATTGACTGTCATTTCACAATATCAGAGCACTCAGGTTCAAAAACTACAAACTTCTACAAACTACAAAGCAGCTAACTTATACACAATGAAACGTTTTATGCAAGCTACTGTTAGATTACTCAATTAAAAATGACCACCAGAATGAAAATGGCTTACCTCTATGTGTTTCCTTAGATTGGAAGGAGAATTCTTGTAAGAAGAAATTTTACAGGGCCGAGGCAGGCAGAGAAGGCAATTGAAAATGAAGGACTCTTTTTTTCTTTTCAACGACTTACGTCAATATGTCATCAAGCTCATTCACGTACGCTATGCAGACAGAGTGAGAATGGCAGGCAAACATCAACAACCTGACCTTCCTTCCTGGTATTGTAGTACTGTTACTAACTGTACTATGAAGTTTTCTCACCGGTTAATGACACAAACCCCCGGTTTCACAGACAAGGCTTAAGCCTAGTCCCAGACTCAAATGTAAGTCTGAGCTGTTTCAACTGAAAGAAACTTGCAGTGATTGCTTAAAATATATCAATGCCTTTGTTTTGTCTCAGGAGGGACACCAGTAATGTTTTTTGTACGGCACATTTATAAAAAATTACTTAAATGTTCTAATTGAACTATGGCCTAATCCTGGCTTAGTCTAAGACCTGTCTGTGAAACCAGGCCATAATGTATTGTAGTAATGTTGTCTCTGGTCGTCTGGTCTGTGTGTGTATATGCGTTCAGGAGGCGTGGCTTTCAGTGTTGCCAGCTTGGAAATGTCCAAGTATCGTACCAGAAGTTCAAAATGATCGTATTTGGAAGAAAATTATTCTGTTGCAATGTTTCTCTAATAAGTTCTGTTGCACAGATGTGCTAAAACAGCTTTAGTCTGTCACACAGACAAACATTAAGTCAGCTTTCAGTTCTGTCGCACAGATGCATTGTCAGCTTTCAGTTCTCAGTTCTGTCGCACAGACACTTGCTTCTTGCTTGGCTGAAGACAGCTTCAAACGCTAATCTGTTGCAAAGATACGTACTCGCTTAACAGTCTTCTAGTTCGTCACAAACACTCAATCAGGACAGCTTTCAAAAGGAATAAGGGTAGACGTTGGCCGATTTTTGGCATTATTAAATTAATCGGCATCGGCCGATTGTGCTGCAAATTAGGCCGATTTATAAGCAGGCGCATCTGCGGGCAGCTAAGCATTGTTGTGGGACACCGTACCGGAGAATCTCTCTCCCTCTGAGGCTGCGTGAGACGGAGCAGCTTACACTCTGCAGCCTCACCTTGTTCAGCTAATAATGGCAGGGCAAAACAGACCGTTTCGAAAACGTAATTACGTTTACCCTACTAGAATTGATGCCGGAAAGTTATCGTATTCATAAGTGAAACAAGTCAGTTTCATATGAAAGTAGAAACACGTGCAATTCAGACGAAACTTCTGGGCTGATTATAACGTGCACGTTAACTTTCCTCATTAAATGTGTCTTTGGGTCCGACAATAGCCTCCACGATGTCATCGTTCCTGGCCAGTGCACTCTTAAGCAGTTGTGAGCAGCAGAGCGTAATTGTAACAGGACGAAGGAGACGAGAGACGTGCAGATCCATTTGCAAGCTTTATTAGACAGAGACGTGGTCAATAACACAGGCAGGGTCGAAACACCAGCAAACAGGTATGGCACGGGCAAAACACAAGAGTAGTCCAAGGACAGACGTGATCAGACTCCGGCGAACAATATCCAACAGGGCAAGGCAAAGAGAGATAATCCAGGTACGCAGCAATAGTCCAGGCAGGGGCAAACAGAGTCCGAACGGTAAAACAATAGATAATCCAAGGTACACAGGCTATCACTAAGAGAGTCAAGTCAAGTCACCTTTATTTATATAGCGCTTTTAACAATACAGATTGTGTCAAAGCAACTGTACAGCATTAATTAGGAAAATAGTGTGTCAATAATGCAAAATGACAATAGTAAACACTAATTTTCCAGTTAAAGACAGTTCATCATTGAATTCAGTGATGTCATCATCCGGCTCAGTTCAGTTTAAATAGTATCTGTGCAATCAAGTCAACGATATATCGCTGGAAATGAAGTGTCCACAACTAAGCAAGCCAGAGGCGACAGCGGCAAGGAACCAAAACTCCATTGGTGACAGAATGGAGAAAAAATCTTGGGAGAAACCAGGCTCAGTCGGGGGGCCAGTTCTCCTCTGAATCTTTACTAGTATTTTATGTTCATCATTGGAACTTTGAACATTGGATTATTCATCGTTGTGAAAAGTGAAAGTGACGTGTGGCCATTGGCCAAGTATGGTGTCCCATACTTAGAATTTGTGCTCTCCATTTAACCCATCCATGTGCACACATACAACAGTGAGTAGTTAACACACACACCATGAACACATTCCCAGGGCATTGGGCAGCCATTTCTGCTGCAGCACCCGGGGAGCAGGTGGGGGATCGGTGCCTTGCTCAATGGTCTCACCTCAGTCGTGGTATTGAGTGTGGAAGAGAGTGCTGGTTACAACCTTTAGGTTACAAGTCCGACTCTTTATCCATTAGGCCACAACTGCCCCCAAGGTTGTTAAGGCTAAGCTGTTTTTAGTAAATATGCTGTTGGGAAAGCTCTGTTATTATTGGAAATCTCCTTGTTGCCAGTCATTTGGTTATTGCCAATATGCTTAAGGCTTATCTGGTGTTACGGGAAACATATCATTACTTAAGCAGAGTTTGACTTTGAAGGAGTGCAGAATCATGTTCATTGATGAGGAAGCGCATTATGTTCCATAGATTATTCGCAGTGAACCGATAAATGAAGGTAACAGGATCCCACTGAAAGGCGATGTATCACATAGCCTTACTTATATATATATATACAAGATGAGACACTCATATTGCCATGAATGGGAGACATTGTTGCCAACTGTTTTCAGCTAAAGCCTGTTCAATTTGCTAAATACCATCATACATACACCTTTTAGCATATTCATTATGTTATTATGTGCATTTGCATTCTGTTAGTTTCAGCCCTTTGTATTGTTTGCTTCTCTGCTACTCTCTGTGCTCACATAACATATTTTAATATAGCCAAATTGCAATAAACTGTTCATATATATTCTGTTTGTTGTCAGACAGTATGAATACTGACTGGAACGTGTGCCATTAAGACCACTTTAAACCAGCAGTCTCTTCTAACAGCTGCTCTGTTCAATTCTGATTTTTAGTACAGTATGGCACTGATTTTTAGTCTGTCTCAGTTTGTTCTGTTTTTTCATGTCATTCCAGACAGACTGGATGATGATTAGATTAGATCAGATCTCTGTGTGGAGCACTGGCTGTTGTCAGACTCCTTGTGCAAACAAAAATCTCACTGGATTATTACAATTAATGGCAAAATGGCAAACACTAGGCGCGTTTCCATTACCCTTCAAATTGCGCAAATTGAAATTGCGACTTGAAAATACGCCTAATGGAAACGCGTCAATTTCGCAAAAACGCCCATATATCGCAAAAAAGTTTTTACGCTCGCATGAGGTGGTTTTTCAGGCAATGCGAAAAAGGAATAATTCGCAAAACTGCAATGGAAACGTCTTTTTCGCATTTACAGGTCACATGGCGTATGTAAAAAGTCATATGATCATTCTTCAATGTACTATAACCTCCAAGAAACACTTCATAAGTGGCCGCGCTCCAGTATAAGGGGCTTTCCCTACCATTAATGCTTAGACAATTTACACTGCACACGTCTGCGGTGCAGTGTGGCTCTGATACGGCCACTGAAGCTGATCGCGGCCACTCAATGCTTGTGTTTATGATTTTATACAGTCTATGGTTTATTCCAGCTGCGCCACGCACGTTTCTGAAGCGGCTCTCTGTGCTGCTTCTGTGAAGATACACGCATAAGCCTCCTTTGAATAAATATAGCCAAAATCCGTTGCCATGACTTATCGCGAGGCAAAAGGTTACGTTTTAGTCGCATAACATTGGTTAATGGAAACGCCGTCATTTCGCAATACTTTTTTATCGACATTTAGAAAATATCGCCAAAGTTTTGCGCAAATCTGTAATGGAAACGCGCCTAGAATGTTGGTCCCTTTACCATCCATAGGCAGATCAACGAAGTCACTTATCGACTGAACGAATCTTCCTCCTCATCACAGAATTTCACCTTCATTCACATATCATTGCTCAAACTGTATATTAACCCTTCTGATTCCTTCTTCTCCAGGGTCTGGTGCTGATGACGTGCTTGACGTGTGGATCCTTCTTCGGAGAACATCTAGAGTCAACACCATCCTGGATTTTCGACAATGGGACGGCGAACTAGAATACCTTGTGGACATTTTAATGCGACTCACCCAAATCATCCGGCACAGAGAAGCAGAGGCCGTCCCAGTCATCGTCCGCCACGGCCATCAGGAGCAGCCCGTGGAGGGGGGTACTGTCACAGAGTCAGCAACATCCACAGCACCAGACCCCTACACTCTGCCCAGTCGTTCCCAGTCTCCAGAGTTCTGATCACCTGCTCCTGTCACTGCCAATCACCACACCCTATTTAAGCCTGCTTCAGTTCACCATTTGTCTGGTCTCATCGTGCATACATGGACACTTACTTGACTACCTGTATGCAGTTATTGAGCGATCCACATCCTGCTTCCAGATCTGGCTCACTAACACCATTGAATCCAAACCTGCAAAAGATAAGACTGTTATTCTCTGCCATTACCTCTGCATCGATCAATTTACCAGTTACCCACCTGCTATTTACATTTGTTTGCTACAACCTGCAATAAAACCTGTTGTTTGGATTTACCTGTGTTGCATTCTTCTGTTTCACGAGACAGCTAACATTTGATGCACATATAAAATACATCTCAAAAAACACCTTTAACATCTTAGGAACATTGCTAAACCTTTTCTCTCTTTTGCTGATGTCACATGTAAACTTAAGATGATAGGGGAATGAGCTTTTTCATTTAAAGCCCATGAGTTATGGAATGTGCTTCCCTTCATTATTAGAAATTCTTCAGCTTTGGAACATTTTAAACAGTTTATCAAGACATTTATTTAAGGTTGTTTTTAATTCATTCATTGTTTTTTTTTATTTTTTATTGTTGTTTCTGTTTGTATTTCACTGTAGATCTGTCAAGACATTTATTTAAGGTTGTTTTTAATTCATTCATTGTTTTTTTTATTTTTTATTGTTGTTTCTGTTTGTATTTCACTGTAGATCTTTAGGTTATTTGCCCTAAGGTTCAATTCTCAAATTTGTGACTAAGACCAGCACAGACCCTGTTAATGTCCAGCCAGCCAGCTCCAGAGGGCTCCAACACATACCTTGGTAACCAGGCAAAGCACAAAGGTACAAGTACAAACCATAGTAATGTACAGACAACAAGTGCTCTGCCAATAGACCCTGCAGACTGGCCTTCTGTATAAACTGTATTAGTACATTAATAACTCTATTAGTATATTCTGTATTAGTATATAGAGGTCCATTCAACCCAGGACCAATTTTTTCTTACCTAAGGGGAAATCAAGAGGCTTCCATGCAGGTCTATATAATAGACAACTCTCAAATGGTGCACTGCTTCCCACAGGATTTTGTGAGACTTGTGGCGGCAGATGACGTCACATATTAATTAGCATATTTATGACATTGGGTTTGTGTTCAGACAAGTTTTGGCACTTCGGATCTGTTCTACTTTCTGAACTGCCTTCTGTATAAACTGTATTAGTACATTAATAACTCTATTAGTATATTCTGTATTAGTATATAGAGGTCCATTCAACCCAGGACCAATTTTTTCTTACCTAAGGGGAAATCAAGAGGCTTCCATGCAGGTCTATATAATAGACAACTCTCAAATGGTGCACTGCTTCCCACAGGATTTTGTGAGACTTGTGGCGGCAGATGACGTCACATTAATTAGCATATTTATGACATTGGGTTTGTGTTCAGACAAGTTTTGGCACTTCGGATCTGTTCTACTTTCTGAACTGTCACATACTGAAATATAGTATGATCTCTGATCGCTCAGATCTCTGCCACAATTCTGCACGCGAAAGATCATATTTTGAGCACACAAAAGTGCATTTTTCACGCGCGCGATCTGAGTTTTGTGGAGAAAATGTTCGTTTCGCAAAGAAAAAAGTAATTTGAGCGCACGAAAATCAATTTTGCATTTAAAATACGTTTTTGGATTTGTGCAGACCTTCTCTTTTGGCGCGTGCAACGTTTCACTAGCTTGCTCCCTTGATGCCCGCCT